AGAAAAGTTTGGGGTTTTTCTTCTTCTTTTTTTTTTTTTTTTTTTGAAATCTCTGATGTCTCACCGGGTCATCATGTCCCAGTAGAATTTGCTCTTCAGAATTTTTTGCAGCTCAGAATTTTGAACTCTTAACCCTACACTCCCTGACTAAGGGATAAAAGGAGGTAACATAGCTTTTTGAGAAAGAAGAATAAGAGTGCTAGGCTGTGGAAATCAGGTAAAGTAATGCATTAAAGAGCTATACAATTTTTGTACCTAAGCTAAAGGTTCATTACATCTCTCTGAGTATCTCTACATAATGTTCCACTGTCTGCTGGGCCTTACAGACAACAGTGGGAATGTGCAGCCTTGCAAAATTGCGCTGGGTGAAAACTTTCTTGTTGCTCTGGAGTTTTCACTGAGATTTATTTTGGTCTCACACTAATTGGTGCATCGTATTTCCAGTTCAGGACGTGTTTTATTTTTCGTCTGTAGCCATAACTTTTTATCAGTTTCCATTTTTAGAATTTTTTTTTACCTGCTTTCTGGTTCTTGGATTGTTGATTGATGAAGGAAACCCTCAATTCAACTTCCATTTGAAGTGGTGGACACTGTCTGACAATCTGCACGGGTTTAAGTGCTTTTTTTCCAAATGGAAGGCTCCAGGAGTAGGTCCTCATCACAGCTTTCACAGGAAACCTGGAAGAGACTTGGATATTTTTCATAGGACTGTTAGGTCTGATGAACTCATTATTCTACTTACAGGAGGCAGATCACTCTTTCTTTAAAGCTTTTGTTAGGTTTACTTTTTGGAGCATGGGCAGTATCCTCTGGACAGGCACATCTCAGGATAAGCCTAAGAGAAAGTGGCCTCTCCAATGCTTGGGAATCAAAATTCTGTGTATATATAGCTCAGAGTGGTACTTAAAGTCTCAAAACTCTTCCTTTATTCCTTTAATACTGTCTAACAGAGAGAGGAACATGTTCATAATTCTTACCTGTGTAAACTGGAAATGCTGAATGAGATTGGTCCATCTCACATCATTCCTGTAGCTTTAATTCCTGATGAGAAGGGGAGGGGGTTATGAGATAAGTCTGCTTAACTGTCGGCATTTAATTCAGTGTGTACAATCTTTAATTCAGCAATGGTTTCTTTGGTTAAGAAGAGGCCTTTCCTACAGTTCAACAAAAATCTGCAAGCCAAGTAAACAAATCTCAAACATCCTATTCCTGCTAGCTAAAAATACAAAGGCACTTGAAAGGTCTTGAATGTGTAAGTGCTGAAGTGAAACTGTCACCTTCTGTTTGTTTTTAACCTTCAACTCCCTTTAATGAAAGTCATCTGAAAAACCAGCTGAGGAAGCACTGACTCTCTATAAAGTTCATTGTGGCCATTAAGTCCCAGACTCCAAAGTCATTCTTCATACATCTGGAAATGTAACCTGCCATATGATTCTGTGGTATAGTAACTTCTTCTTGGAGGGTATATAGATTACATTAAAATCTGAAATGCAAAGCTAATTGCCCTAATTAAAGAATAGTTCCAGAGGGGCTACAATAATTTGCTGTGCAGAGACATTTAAACTAAGAGCTTGGAATTCTGTTCATACATTCATTAATCATTTCCTTGAATTACTGCTTTTTTTCTAAATCTGTCAAACTGCTGTCATTATACAGAAATCCTAAAATTTCTCTCGTTGTTGTCAGAAGAGGGAAGGCACAGAAACCTTTGCTGTCCATAATTTCCCAGATTTCCTGCTCAAGTGATATCCATAACCAAGATCCCTGAACATGCCCTTGAAAGAACTCTGCTTTGTAGTAAGGAATTCAGATGCATTGAGGTGCATCCTTTTCTAGAACATGGGTTAATAATACCACCAAGCTTGCTTTACATCATTTGAGTAAGCACAACTTTCAAGGAGATTCCATGGCTCCCTATGAAGGCTGATAAAACTGTGGGGCATTGTACCTTGGGAAAAAAGTGCTTGATAAGGAATTAAACTGCATATTAATTACATGCAGAATGGAAGCTTTTATGTCATATCCATGCTGTCTCTGCCATATGGGCTTTCTGGACACAAGACCTGTTTCAAGGAGGAGCAGTTTGTGCAATATTTTATTCCATTTTCTCTGTTTCTGGTTACTTATTTTTTCATCTAATTTATGTAATTTAATAGCTTAAGGTATGCTTCTCTCTGAAAAGCAAAAGTGACCAAATAGAGATTCTGAAGCCGAATAAACAGTTCTCCCAGGTATTTGTCTGGGTCTAATACAAGAGATCTTGCTTTACGAGGTTTTATGGGCAGCTGTTGCAATATTTGAGATCATATATGAACTCTTGGAAGTTTGGATATGAAGGCAATCATCTATGGGAGGATTATTGCACATGAATAAGCATTTATATTACAATAGGAAAGGACACACCAGGCTTTTCGCAAGAGACTTACAGTTGTGAAATTCGAAATTTTGTATTTCCATGAGAAGTAGGGATGCTATTTAATGTAAAGTAAGTTGCATTGAGTTATGGCAGAAGTCATTAACTTTTCTTTTGAAAGCACTCTAAATATGCTCACAAGTACTTACCTCTATTATCTTGAAAAATATGAACTGTTTTTATAAACAGATACAATTCTTAATAAAGTTCTTGCTGGATGTCAGTGAATTCCACAGATCTCCAAATGTAATACCATAGAGATCTGGTCTAACAAGGGGATGGGAGAGCCTTGCTCAGTCAAAGTAATCACACTGCAGTCACAGCAGCCTTCATTTTTATGGTAATTGTTTACTTACTGGGCAACTTTTTTGTAGTTAAAAGTCTCAAGCAAAAGCAGTAAATTGAATTTTAAAGATTCTTTACTGTGGGGTGGCCAGACACTGGCAGAGGTTGGTCAAAGAAGCTGTGGCTGCCCCTGGATCCCTGGAAGTGTTCAAGGCCAGGTTGGATGGGGCTTGAAGCAACCTGGGATAGTGGAAGGTGTCCCTGCCCATGGCAGGGGGGAGCTTTAGGGTCCCTTCCAACCATTCTGTGATTTAGTTGTGCATTCTCTTTGCAGCAAGGGACATCAGGATTTTTCAGGTGTCTCTATGATAAAAAGTTTTGATCCCAATATCTGCATTTTTCAGCATTGTGGGTCTCCCACAGGTTTATGAAAAGTGAACTGCTGAGCAGTGACATGGAGGGCTGTAGTCATAAAACCATTTTTATCAGCAAGGAGGATTGGCATTAGTTTTCTCCATTGACCATGTATAAATATTCTATATTGTATTAATGCAAATGTCTGCATTGTTTCAGGACTTCCAGGATGGGCTTGGATGTCTTCTCATACCTACATGTAAAATAAAACTTTAAAACTGCCCTGAAGTTTAAAAGCTGAAAATTGTGGTCCCATAGAGAATGTTGTGAAATACATCTCGTAGCTGGCCCGCTCTGGCAACTTGAAATGTGGGTACAGTCTTCATGTCTAACCCAGAAATCTGATGGTCAAACTGGAATTATCTGGCTGATAGGCTTAGTCTAGAAACTCTCATCATGCTTGAACAAGCTGACTGCTGTTCTGTTGAAGGGGCTTTAAAGAGAGAGGGGATTTTCTCTGACAAGCTCTCCTTAGAAACTCCCTCGCTGATTCTTGACAAGCAAATAAAGATTCAGTCTTTTGCTTGACATTAGTAGGCTTTGTGGATACATCTGAGAAAATATTTGCATATGTTTGTTTTATATTGTGCCATTGTGGAATAACACATTTGTGCAGTTGCTCAAGTGAAGAGTCGTGGGGATCGTTCAGGTAATAAAATCCATTCATTTTTTCACCTTTGAATTACTGGAAAAAAAGCAATTTCTGTAAGTGCTCTGATAGTTCAAGGTAATGTCTGAAAATACTGTGTCCACAAGAAAAGTGAGTTACACATCATTAAGTAGAACCACGAATTTCACTATTCCTTCCACAGGTGTTTTCCATTAGAATATGTCTGCCACATTCAGACCTATTTTAAGTAAATTCACAAGGAAATGCCTCTTTACATGTTTATCCTGGAAAGGCAGATAGGTGTTTTACTTTATAAAGCAGTCTAGAAGTTTTCTATTCTTCAAATGTAAAAATATTTTTCAGAACATAGTAGTGCAGTTTGGTAATGTATTTCTAGCTGCCATTAGAGACACTTAAAATTAAAAAATAATAAAATTGGTGAAACAGAAATGACTGTTTATTAGAAATTCTGGTGAAAGGGGTATTTGCCTGCATAAGTGTTTGTGTAAAAAATTTATGTTCTTTATGTACACTTATTTTAATAAGAACTCTACTGTAAAACTTTCCTTTTGGTGATCTTGTAAAATATTATTGTGTAATGATACTGTACTTTAGGGTTATGATATATCATCTCTTGAATAACATGTAAAAAAGTGTACTGACTTGCTAGAAATTCTCTCATGACAAATACCTAGCATCAATCATTTCCAGTAATAGTTTTTAGTTTTGAAAAACAGCTTTGCTCTTACAGACAGAACCTTTATCTTTCAAATGCTCTACTTTATATAGTGAAAAACAAATAAGTGAGTTGTGATATAGATTAAATGGTCACTTTATTTCAGTGTCCATTTTCTCCCTGGTTTTCAAAGTTCATGACATCACAAATGGTTGGAAAGAATGCATTTGTCTTCTGCTCTCTATACATATAACTGAGATGTAGTAAAAGCATGATTTAAATTCTGCAGCTGTTTAAAATATTTCAAGTTTGGTGTTGCTTAAACCATCTGTATCATTTGGGTAAGTGTTGCTTTTTTCGACTTCTTTCCTAATACTCTTCAGACTTAGAGCATATATTAGATATTCAGGAAGCTAAACATTTCTTATTATTGTATTTTTTTTCTTTACATGAAATCATTTAAAGGAGTGCTGTTTATGTAATTTAACTGAATCTACATCGAAAGGCATTTTGTAAGCAACTGAGGAACCTTGGATGAGTTTTTTGCATCTGTTTTAGCAGCAGACTGTGGTTACAATAATATGAATGTTTTCTCCCAATAGCATCAGCGACTTCTTGACATTCTAGAAGCAGAGAAGGAAGTGTTATCAGAAAAGATAGAAGAAGCTTTGATGCAGCAGTCACAAAAGCACAAGGTATTTCTTTCATTTACAACAAAAAAAGAGGGGTCTGATCAACACCATGGGAATGATCCTGTCACATTTATTGACAGGAAGAGGAAACTTTCTTAAGCACTTTGACAGTTTGAAATTATTTTGAGCCACTCCTCTGTTGTGTATTGCAGTTTAATTTTTCGTAACATTTGCAGGAGGTGCTGGACAAATGTTTGGAAGAAGAAAGGCAAAGGAGTAAGGAGGCTGTGGCAGCTGCTGCCGAGGTATCTCTTGTTAATTTAGTAGATGTGCAATGTGGGTTCCACGTGTGCCATTAGAAACACCGAGTTCAGCAACCCATTTTTATTTCATAACCAGATTTATCAAACTCTGCATTCTCATCCATGTTTAAGAGAAGCTAATTCTATTAATCATGAACATATCTGCTATATCCTGTGCCTTGATACAGAGAGCCAGTGTAACTCCTGTGGGGGATAACATCTCAGTTGTTTATGACAAGAAGTCACAGTATTGCAGTTCAGGTATTGCCTAAATATCTGGTTTTGTGGTCTTTCAGCATCATTGCATCTCGATTTGAAGAGCTGGGTAGGAGGTCAACTCTTCACCTTAGTAAGACAATTAGCATCGTGTCTTGCTTAACTTTTGTTAAATATGGTTGTTTTCAATGAGGAGAGAACGATTTCATAAATCATTAAAACAGGGACATTTTAACAGGTTTTCAATTATTTAAGTGGATATTTGACTAAAAGTGAGTATTCAGCTTCTAAAATATGATTTCTTCTGTCTGTTTCATTAGTAAGTGCATTGTTGTAGAGGACAGTAATTTTGTAGATGTTAAACTGTCTTTCATTTCTAATACTGTTGTAGAATCCAGTTGCATGTAATGATCTGGGAAAACTAGTGATGTATATTACCTAGTGCAGCTCATAAGGCTATTTTAGAATTTTCTGTATATTTTTATGTGTATTATATGAACACTAGCTGAGCACCTCTCTGAATAGCATTCAGTAACACAAGAAACATTTGTTACGTGGTTGACATCTACAGGAAAATGTGTGTAGTAGAATACCTTGATTTAATAGGGCTTTTTTAAAAAAAATTACTCTGTTTTTAAATATCTAAGTGAAAAATCAAGTGCCAGTGAATTGCAAGAAACAGCTTTATTTGTAAGTGCAGGTATCTGATGAACATCATATTTTTTGCCATTTCTGACTTCACTTGCCCAGGTCTATAATCACCTCCAAGGGGCATTGGAATGACCTGTAAGATTATTAAAACTGAGGGGTTTGCAAATGTGGGGGGGTTTTAGCCCATATTTGCTTATTTTGAACTTCAGTTTGCCATTATTTAGCTGTAGATATTATGCAATAGTTATGCTGATAGATGTCTCTGTGTGGCTGCTTTGCCACAGAAAACACTCAGACTTTTGGGACTTCAGATGTTTGTAGGTAAGAACAGGAATATCTCCTACACAGGAATATCATGGCAGGCCCATGATGTGCCTCTTTTTTCGTGGGTTTTGCTGCATTATTTTTGTGCTAAACAAACTAGTTATGAGATACTGTGTTTTTGGTAGGGGGGGAATTTAAGAGCCTTACTTGTAACTCCCTTTTCCTTTCTGTAACTACACAAGTCACTGTCCAGAGGTAATACCTGCTTCAGAGAAATATAAATTCATAGTTCAGAAGTGAAAATGCTTATGTTCAATATCTTATCAGTTCTTAGATCTCATTAGGAGAAGGTAACATATGTGAGTTAGGCACTTGTGTTGGGCGTGTTGGTCATCTGGTTGTGCCTCATTTGTTTGAAAGGCTGAGAAAGAAGCAGTGCAGGAAGCTGTTCTGAAAGCAGTAGAGGAGGAGAGGAGGAAGATTCATGCAGAAGAAAGAAAAATGTGGGAAGCAGAACGTGATAATCATAAAGAGAAGATTGCCCAGGCTGTTTCGGAAGCCATGGAGGAACAAAGAAAGCAGAATCAGGTTGGTATATTTTACCCTTCCAGTGGTAAAATATATGTATTTTATGTATTTTATTTTATGTATTTTATTTTTGCATTTCAACGTCTTCCAAATGTTGTGCTAGATTTCCTTGTGACATCTTGTCATTCATCAGTGCACACAGTTGATCTTTGCAATACACAGCAATCTTTTTAGTTTATTTTCATCTAGACTGTGTATGGAGAGAGGCTGACACATAAAGAGTAAAATTCTTGTGACACTTAGAGGCCCACAGATTGAAATGAGATAAATCATGCCCTCTAAGTGCTTGGTTTTGTCCCCTGACTTCAAAAGGAACCAACTCAGAGAGTGGCATTTGTGCTGTAAACAGTTTAGGTGACTTTTTATACCTGTGGAAGAATAAAGATATTACATGTGTTCCTTATAGAACAGGTACAAAATAAGGAGAGGGTTATAAAAATCAGAAGCCTAAGCCAGTAATGAACCAGAATTTCTAGAGTTACTCATTAGAGAGGTGCTTCTATAATTGTATGTCACCTAACACAAAATGGGAGGGACATTCCCAACGTTGCTTTTAGCAATTTTAGGAATTACAAATTAAATATGTTATAACAGCAGTTAAATTACTATTCCAAAAGTTGATTTTCTAAGTCTCTGATGCTGGAAATGTTTGAAGGAGCAGCCTGTAAATTCACTGATTTCTTGGTGACATACTTGAATGTTACAGTCATCAGAATTTTAAAGAATTTTTGTTTCATTCACGTGTTGGAATTTGACATGGCTGTATTCTATGTCCTGAATAAGAAAAACAAACAAACAAACAAACAAACCAAAATAAAAGTTTAGAATTTGAAGTAAAATAGAAGTAAAATAGCATATCACACAAGCTTAAAAATTAAGTCCTTGGAAACGGATCCCATTTCCCTTTCCTGTGTTAAACAGAATTATTGACTCTACATAATCAGCTGCACAAAAAAGTTGTTTTTTGATGCTATGCCAATATTATATCTGTATTGCTACATTTCTAATGTGAATAGAGTGATTTTACTTTTTATATGGCTTCTTCTTTTGAATGTAAAGGTATCAGGTGGGAAGATGTCAGTTTTTAAGACTTTCAATAAGCCTTCAGGCACTCAAACTCTTCTTTAGGTTAAAAAGCTGATTTCAAAGATAAATTCAAGCTGAGAACAATTTTTTGGGGTTTAGTTAGATACAAATCATTTTGACTCTCCAGAGTGAGAATTGATACCAGTGGTGCAGAGAACCTGTTGATGGAAGGGAGAGCAATAAAGCAGTTTTTTACTGCAGTAAAGAAAAATACAGTGATTTTCTGGAACATGAAGAGATTAACATGAGGATGACTTTGGTGATGAAGCTTGAGAAGGGTTTTGATGAATCCTGAAGCTTTTTGGTGCAGGAGTCCCATAGGTGGGTGCAGGAGTTCAGCCAGGGTTCCGTATTTCTGGATTTGGGGAGCATCTTAAGTGTCCCAGGGGCAGGAGAGACACAGACTAAGCTGTTGTAACAACTTGGAGGTGTTGGAGAATGTTGGGGTTAATTGTCCTGTAAATATCTTGTGCTTTATGTAATCTTGTGTCATTAATACCATCATTAGTTCCATCTCTTTTAGTGCTGAATAGCTCTGACAACTTTGATTGTAACAGGAATACTTTCTCTTATTCAGTTGTAAATAAAAAAAAAGTAAAATAAATTAAAAAAGAATAAAAAAATGTTTCTCCTTTGAGTTAGGTTCATTTTTCAAATATCTAACCTATTTTTAATTAGGGAAAAAGGCAGATTTTTCTCAAGATTTCCAGAATTCTTTCACATAAATGTATAGTATATATGAAGTTACACTCTTATATTTTGTTTTCTATAAGATTTCTCTTTCTGGAGCTGTAACTGCACTGTTGACTCTCTTGCAGTTGTCTAACGTTTTAGACAATGAAATATAAAATTGTGGCCATGTAGTGCTTGCCTCATTTAGTTCTTTATGCTCTGCTGTGTAATTCTTTATGGTTCCTGCTTCAATATTGTCACCTCATACTGTCATTATGTTTAGTACCAAGTAATGCAACAACTTAGTGCCTTTGAATCTAAGTGAACATGCAAAATAATCTTTATGGTATCAGACATATAAAAAGAGGCTTAAGAGAAGTATTTTTATTTCAAGAGAATTTTCTGACTAAGCCATGATTTTGGAAATTTACACTAGGAAAGGGAAGCCTGACTTGCTTTTAATAGTCTCTTCTTTTAGTTTATCTTCAGTTTATCACCAGAGGAAATAATCTGTGTGAGAAAGAAAAGATATTTTTATGTTGACTTCTCTGTCTTGTATCACACGAGTACTTGTCATAGAATTAAAATTTTAGTTTGCTGTAAATTAATCTGAAGAGGTTTGCTTTACTGATTTGAACTAAACCAAAGAAATTAAGCCTATTATTAAAGACTTTTCCATTGCTAATACTGTAAGTCTGTGACATTGAAAGATCACCAAGGGTCAGTGTAGCCTTCTGCAAACAGGATGGCTTTCAGTCACAGTGCCCATAATTAACTCTAGGAATAATTAGTGGAAAAAATTGAAAACATTCAACATTTTATTATTTTCTTTGAGGTGCAAACCCATTAAAGAAAAAGGCAGTGTCATATGCATGGGGCAAGAGTTGATAAAAGACATATTTTAAAAACTACAGCACCATTGTGTATCTGCAAAACATTTAAATTATGAACACAAGGGAAAATAAAAATCTGTGTTATAATGGAATTAATCTGTTGGCTTCTCCTTTACTTCCTAGACCAGAAAAACGTGATTAGGAGTTCTGATTCTTTGTTTTGAAGAAGTAATTTACTATCCACTAATTTTCTTTATAAAATACAATATTTGGGGGTTTTTTGCCAGTTTTTAAACACAGTCACTGGAAGTTATATGGTTATGTATGAGAAAGCAAAAGGAGAAAAAAAAACACATTAAATATGGTAGGTAACATTTCTTAGGTCAGGCAATTTTAGCATAAGGGCAATAAATCTTTCAAGATCACACTTGTGCTGAATCAGGTAATGAAATTTCCTTTCGTCTTCTAAATAATGTGTTTTAAAGAAGAAAAGATGAATCTACCATGCAGGGATGATACAGGTATTTTTTTTTAGACTTTTTTTTTTGCAGAGTGGCCAGGAAGGAGAACAATAGTGGATGCAAATCTGGAAGTTTATGCAGATTGCTTCTGCTTGTTAGATATTCATGCTTGACAAAATGTTGTCCTAGAAGAAATGTTTGTCCTTAGTCAGATGGAGGTCAAGTCTGCAGATAAGGAGATGCTACCTCCATGCAAGATTTATTTTCTTAATTGAACATTGCCAGAGAAAATTCTGGGGACTCGGAGACAGTTTAATAACTAAATCATGATGAATATCAAATATTTTGTTTTACCAAATATGAAAAAGCAGAATAAAGATAAATTTACAGTGAAAGTAGGAACTAAGACATACTTGTTCTTGATGGAACATCAAGAACAGTTCCATTTCAACTTGATGGAACAACCTTGACATATCCCCTTCTTTTTTTTTTCTTTAAGAAATTAAAGGATTAGAGTAACATGAATATTGCATTTGTTCTCATGAAAACTTTGACTGCTCCAGTGACTTGGGGTCTTTACGTAGAGACATAGGATTTTTAATTAAGGTGAAGGTATTATTTTTGAAGCCTTTCAGGTCTGAAGGGATAAATGAGATATTTTACATCGCCAGGGAAATGGCAAAATTTTTTTAGAGCACTCTCTTGAGGCTGGAAGGTATTAAAAGTCCAGATTACTTTCCTTTTCCCTGAGACTGGCAGCATCTTCAGGTTTTATGCACGTGCTATTCAGTTGCTTTGTGCTTTTATTAAAGAGTTATTTGGTGGTTGTTTTTTTTTTTTAATTTAGAAGAGTATTCTTAGGTTTGGGAAGGGTGGGCTTGCGTTTTAAATCAGGAAGAATAAGCTCTCCTTGATAGAAATGAGTAGTCTTTTGATTAAAGGTAATGTTCTTTTGCACAGGAACCTCACTATCCTTTTCCAACACATTGGAAACTCATTGCAGATTAGGAACTCATCTATTCAGCAGGGCAGATGTAGCCTGGAATGTCTCCAGTTGTTTGTTTTCCATGCAATGTATTGTGTTTTTTACAGTGGCAACTTCCCTGCAAAGAGAGTTTAATGTGTCTGATAGTTGTCAGTGTTGAGAGGAATACCTGGGGAAATTCTTCCAATAGGATGGTTTTTTTCTAGAACACTTATTTGAATAAACAGTGGATATCCTCTAGATAAGGAAAAAGTATAAAAGGTAGTTTGGCTGAGGCAGAAGCATTTCCCCACAGAATTCAAAATTGCAGGGAAGCTCCTGGGGTGCAACTAATAAACTTCAGTGAAAAAACAATGGACAATGCTCTCTATTGTCATCTACTTTACGTTCATTTTTACTCTTCAGAAAAAACTAAAATCCAAAAATTCTTTGGGGATACAGGAAGATGAGATCCATACAATTTTGAATAGAGTAGAAGGATGCTATATTGTATTTATAATTTGTGGGCAGTGCAGAGTAGCTGTACCTCCCATAGCTGTAATGCACAGAGCTCTCTGCATGGCAGTTCTTATCATTTTACAAAGCTAAATACTCAGTTACATAAAGGAGGCAAAATTGATGGTGGTGGGGGAGAGAATTAACAAAAGAAGCTAAAGCACCACTATATTTGTTTTAAAACAAGTTCATTAAAAGTAAAATGAAAGCTGGCAGCTGCAGGGTGAGCCCTGGAAATTTTAAGTCTATCTCATAGCTTGAAATTAATAATTCTGCTAAGGCAATTGAAGCAAAGAATCACCTTTGTCATTTCCTGAAGGCTTAAATTTAAAATACTGTAGATAATCTAGTGTAGTTTACCCTAATTCTCAAGGGGAAAAGAGCCCGAGTTCATCATTGCCATAATCCACACAGCAGATCCATTAGAGACTCAAGTGTTCTGAAGGCTGCAGATATTTAGGGGAAAAA